AGGGGACAGGGATGGAGGGCAACATTGGGGGAACTGGAGACAGGACAGAACTGACAGACTCAAGCCTCTCTCCCATTCTAGGCAGCCGCACCCCGCATTACGGCTCGCAGACGCCCCTGCATGACGGCAGCCGCACTCCTGCCCAGAGTGGGGCCTGGGACCCCAACAACCCTAACACGCCGTCACGGTGAGGGCCAGAAGCTTGGTGGGGGCCAGGGTTCCCTGAGCCACTGGGTTTGTGTGCCTGTGTGTGAGGGGTGATGCTGCGTGTCTGGGGAGTGGAGGGGTCTGCGTGGCCCACCCTGAGTCTCTGCTCGCAGCCCCAGGCTGGTCATGTGAAGGAGTAGGCATGGCTGGGGGCAAAATAATCTCTCCAGCCCGGACCACAGTAGCATGCTGTGGTTAAAACCTGGGTTTGGAGACAGATTGGGTGACCTTGGTCATGGGACTGTGTGACCTTGGGTAGGCAACCTCATCTCTGCTTCCCAGTATCGTCAGCTGTTAAATGAGGTCTCCATACGGGGCTGTTCCTGAGGATGGAGTTGCCTGGGTTCTGCCTTGTGTACAGTGCTATTCTGGAAGCATGTGCAGTATTGTTGTGATCCCCAAGGTCATTCTCAACAGACTGCTCTCCCCAACAGGGCTGAGGAAGAATATGAGTATGCCTTCGACGACGAGCCCACCCCATCCCCACAGGCCTATGGGGGCACCCCCAATCCCCAGACACCTGGCTACCCAGATCCCTCGTCCCCACAGGTCAACCCACAGTACAACCCGCAGACGCCAGGGACGCCAGCCATGTGAGTCCACTGGGGCTAGCCCTAATCAACCCCTGCCTGCTGCCACCACCTCCGTCTCTTTCCTGCGTCCCCAACAAATGCCCCCTTCTCTCCTTGTCTCTGCAGGTACAACACAGACCAGTTCTCCCCCTATGCTGCCCCCTCCCCGCAAGGCTCCTACCAGCCCAGCCCCAGCCCCCAGAGCTACCACCAGGTGGCGCCAAGCCCAGCGGGCTACCAGAACACCCACTCTCCAGCCAGCTACCACCCCACGCCCTCGCCTATGGCCTATCAGGTACTGGTCAGCCTGCATGCCCCCGAGGGTGGTGGGGTAGGCTGGGCTGTGGGCCTAAAAGAAGAGCCAGGCCAGATGACCTATTCCCAATGACACCTTCCCCCTTGCCCCTACAGGCCAGCCCCAGCCCGAGCCCTGTTGGCTACAGTCCGATGACACCCGGGGCCCCCTCCCCTGGGGGCTACAACCCGCACACACCTGGCTCAGGCATTGAGCAGAACTCCAGCGACTGGGTAACCACTGACATCCAGGTGAAGGTGCGGGACACCTACCTGGACACGCAGGTGGTGGGGCAGACAGGCGTCATCCGCAGTGTCACGGTAAGCGGGGCCCGGCCTGGTGGGTGGTCGGGCATCCTCTCTTTTGGGGCCCCCAATCTGTGCTTGCTGGGTTTTTTTCTTCTAACTGTCTCACCACATCTTCCAGTACCCGTTTACAGCTGGAAAACCTGGAAAGGTTGGGCATGCAGGCTCCACAAGGTGGGATTCCTGCCTGTTGTGCTCACGGCTGCAGCCCCAGCAGCCTGGAGCAGTGACCAGCACCCAGGAGCGTGGTTCCTTTTGGACATACACCTCTGAGATCAGGAACATGAACTGGGTGCTCCCCTGTGCCGGGCTGCAGCTTAGCGCCGGCACCCACCCTGGGCTCTCCCTGCTCCAGCACTGCTGGCTTCTCCAGTCTTCATCGTCACTGAGTTCCCTCCAGCCGCAGGGCCTTTGCTCGTCACTTTCCTGTGTCTAGAGATCTCTTCCTTCCATTCTTTGTCTGCTTCACCCCTCCTAATCCAGGGAAGCACCTAGGCTCTCTCAGGTCTGTCTCTTATGGGTCTGTGTGATGCTTTTTCTTGTTATCTACCTGCAGCCTAAAAGCTTAATGTTTACCCTGGTGTGATTCTTTGATTGCTAGGCCTATATTTTATTTCTAATGAGGGACTAGCACCTTGTTGGTCCTCTGGTAAATATTAATTAAATTAATTAAACAACCACCAGAAACCAAGACAGCTCTAGGCCCTGCCCTCACAGATCTCACATTCCAGTGGGGGAGACAGACATGTTGCAAGACAGCGACAGCCCGAGTGGCCAGAGCTGGGATGCGGGAAGCCCAGAGGGCAAGGGGAGCTCTGTGAACCTAGAGGAGGCACCTTACCCAACTTTGGAGGGGAGCAGGGAGGGCTTCCTGGAGAAGGAGACATCTGTGCCGAGACCCGAAGAATGAATTAGGAGTAAGCCAAGAGAAATGGCTGGGGAAGGGCTTAAGTGTGTTTCAGAAAGAGGAGTTGTGCAAAGGCCTGGAGGTGAGGGAAAGCCTGGGACATTTAGGGAGTGAAGTATGTTCATTGTGGCTAGAACATAAAGAGCCAGGAGGAAGGTGAGTGCTGAGGCCAAAGAAGTGGCTGGGCCAGGTCACATGCCAGCCTGGGGAACTCGGACCATGTCCTGAAGGGACTGGGGGTCATAGAGGAATCTAAGCAGGGGAGTAGTGGATCAGATCTGTGGTTTGGGATTCATTCATTATGTTGCCCTATCAAGGATGGATTAGGGGTGCTGAGACTGGGGGCTGGGAGCCCAGGGGGAGGTCAGGCTGCATACAGGGCCATGGGGAAGAGAAGAGGGGGGAGGTAGGAGAGACCCTCACAAGGCTGAATGGACAGGCCTTGGAGCTGGAGTTTGTCGGTGAAGGAGTTGACCAAGACAAGGTCCAGAGCTCTGGCTGGGGCCTGGGGACCGTGGGGCCACCCCTGAGACGGAGGCCCAGGAGAAAGAGCAAGTGTGGGGAAGGAGCTGAGGCCAGTTTGGGACACAGAGCCCAGTGCCTGAGAAGCAGTCTCCCTTTTGGCCTAAATTGCTTCATTTGGGTGCTTTCTTTGCTTATCTGGTCATCCCGCCCCCACACACCACTGACTCCAGGCCTTGGAACCAGGCCTAGCCTTGGCCTTTCCCGCCCCTGTGTCACCTTGGGAAGGTGACTTCTCAGGATGAGCCCTGAGCCCGTGTCCCCTGAGTTTGGACATGAGTCCTGTGTGGGGAGCAGGCCAGGCTCACCAGGTTGTCCTCACTCCCAGGGAGGCATGTGCTCCGTGTACCTGAAGGACAGCGAGAAGGTGGTGAGCATCTCCAGTGAGCACCTGGAGCCCATCACCCCCACCAAGAACAACAAGGTAAGGGGAGGCAGGGGGTGTGGGGGCACTGGGCTGCTGATGTGGACCCTGACCCCGTGCCCCCCACCAGGTGAAGGTGATCCTGGGCGAGGACCGGGAAGCCACAGGTGTCCTGCTGAGCATCGATGGCGAGGATGGCATCGTCCGCATGGACCTTGACGAGCAGCTCAAGATCCTCAACCTCCGCTTCCTGGGGAAGCTCCTGGAGGCCTGAGGCAGGCAGGTCACGTGGACTTGGGCAGACATCTGACAGATGGAGAGTGTCCCTCCTTCCTTCCCTGGCCTTTGGCTCTGACTCAGCATCTGGGGCCTGGCGTAGGGCTAGCCTGATTGTTCAGGATTTCTTTTATTTTCCTTTCTGGGTTCCTGTCTCCCTCCCTCATGTTCATGGGGATGAGAGTAGAGTCTGGGGAAGGGTCCCCACCTTGTACCCCCCCTTCCCCAGCTTGCTTTTGTGTTATAGTCTTTCAATAAAAAGCTGTTTGGTCAAAAGTCCTGTGTGTGTGTGGTCCGGTTTGTAAGTGAGGTCATTTGCAGACCCCACTCCCTTGCTTTGTGGTCTTGGGCAAATAACTGGGTCCTACCTAAGCCTCAGTTTCCCCGCTAGAAAATGATAGTGCCTCCCCCAGAGGGCTCTTGAGAGGAATGCATGAGAAGACTCGAGAAAGAGATTAGAACAGAGGCTGCCAGAGCCTGCGTGTGATCGATGAAGTTACATCTTCCTCAGGCTTGAGTTAGTGAGGTGAAAATCACAGTCAGTGTCCCCCAGGGAGCCTAAGTTCCTCCTATGGAGCAGGATACAGCCTTTGATGATCCTTCCTCTTGAGGCCGCACAGCAGTGACACCAGAATTGCTGTAGCTGGTCTGATGGCATGGGGGCTGGGAGCAGCCTACCCCCTGACCCTCCTTCACCTTCCTCGTTTGATATTTACATGCCTTTTTACAAATGTAATGTAAAATGTGCTATAAAATATTTCAGATGCTCAGAAAGATATACCAGAACACCCGTGTCCCACAGCCCAGCTTAGGAAACGGTATGGACCAGACAGGACCCGCCTCCGCAGCTCCCCCAGTCCACTCCCCGCGGGGTCACCACAACCCTGAATTCCCGTGTCTCTTGCCTAACTTTGTACTTTTACTACGTTAGTATTTATCCTCAAGTGTTCTATGGTCGGTATACATGTTTTTAAAGTTTACATAAATAGTATCAGACTTTTCCTTCTCAAAATAGTTTGAGGGTCATCGTCATGGCTCCCGTAACCTCTAACTCATGGACCCCTCTCTCCATGACCCAACCCCGCCAGGCGCGGCGGCGGTTCCTTTGGCCCCATGAAGAGCTTGGCTTCCCAGACCCTTTATAGGAAACTCGCGGGAGGCCCGGGTACTGACAGACTCGGCCCCACGTGAGGAGAGGGGGGTGAGGCTGCCTTTCAGCCCGCCTCCCGGGCCGCCCCCTCGGGCGGGCCGAGCTACCTGACTCGCGGCTTTCGCTCTTGAGGACAAATCGGGCAGCCACTGGGATCCTTCCTTACGGCTTCCGCTTTCCCGCTGAGCACATGGTGGCCGCCCGGTCCCGTAGCAGGCGCAGTGGAGCGCCCGGCGGCCGGAGGGGGCGTGGTGCCGGCTGACTCAGTTCGCGCGCCGGGGGCACCGGGAGGCGTGCGCGCCCGCGGCGGTCCGCCCGCAGCCCTTTGTCTCTCTCGGGCTCCCGTCCACCCGGCCCGCCCCTGCGCCCCCATTGGCCGCAGCCCCGGGGAGGGGGCGGAGGGAGCGAGTGGGCGGGGCCGCGTGGCGTCAGCGCAAGATGGCGGCCTCGGCGGCGCTGCTCCTGCGCTTGCGGAGCGGGCTCCGGCCCGGCGCGCGGGGGCTGTGCGCTAGGCTGGCGACGCCACCTCCCCGGGCTTCGGGCCAGGTGAGCGGGCCGGGGTGGCCTCCGGGTGCGGGGGCCCCTCTCTGGAGTTTCGAGCGGGCCGCTGCTGCCCGGGGGTTCTGGAACGCAGCACTTCAGCGTGCTGAATGGAACGCCGCCCGCGTTTTGGGGTGCTTTCCTGCCTCCGGGAGTAGGCAACGCTTGTCCTCCCTGGCTAGATGCTGGGGGCTCAGGTGCGTCCTCTGGACCTCACCTCCTCTGGACCCCACGTGGGCGCCTGGGTAGGAGGTCACCTGTTCCATCTCAGTGACCGCTCGGGTAATACTTGAAGGGGAGGGGCCCGGGACGTTGGGGTGCCAGCCTGGCTTTGGAGGTGTTTCCCCGCCTTGGTGGTGGTGAAGTAGAGGTTGGAGGTTCTGATTCGATCTGCCTCCATGTTGATAGAGATCCAGCCATTCTGACCTCCAGGGCCATCACTTCCTTGCTGTACTTCCCCAAGCCCCAGAGAAGCGATTGCCCCTCCGCCCCCGCTCCCATCCCTTCTCCTCTATCTTGCTGCTGTGAGCCCCAGGCGTGCGGAGGCTTTAACCCCTCGTCCTGTCCCCTTATGTGGCCTCTGTTGCCTTGCTCCAGGCATCCCAGTGTCCAGCCAGGCTCCCGATCTCATCTCCCTGCCCTGCTTTTCCGGGCTCCAGGCCCTCCAATCCTTTGCCTCCAGGATCCTGGGCATCCGGCCTGTCAGCGCTCGAATCACTGGGATCCTGGCGCCGGACAGTCCAGTTCTTGACCCTTCTGAGAGACCCAGTCTCTTGGCTGCCCTTCCAGGGACACATCACCTGGAGGCCATATGGGTGTCCACTTCGTGGCTCTTGAGCTTGATTCTTCAGCCAGGGGGCCCGAACCACTCTGACCTTCTCTCTCTCCTCTCTTGGCCAACCTACGTTCTCTCAATCACAGGCTGCAGAGATCGGGATCCGTGCGAGCACAAAGGCCCAGGCCCAGGGGCCACAGCAGCAGCGGGGCACGGAGGGTGCCAGCTATGCCAAAAAAGTTGCCCTCTGGCTTGCTGGGCTGCTCGGTGCTGGTGGAACCGTGAGCGTCGTCTATATCTTCGGTGAGGGACATATCCCTGTCCCCCAGTCTTGTTCTGTTGGCCCTTTTTTCTACTGCAGAATCTCTTTCTCTTTCCGCTAAGGGCTCACCCGTCTTCATTCCCTGGCTGCTCCCTCAACAGGGCAGCCAACTAGAACATCTACCTTGGAAATGGGGAAGGTCTCCCTTTTACCCACTCTGTTCAAGGTTCTACTCTTTCTAGTGGTTCCTGCACTAGGCTGTAGGGAGTCAGTGGGAAGAGAGGAAGACGGGGGAGGATAGGCCTCGACCGGCTTCCTAAGCTACTCTTCCTTCAGCACCCAAAACTGCAACCCTCCCCCTGGTCCCTTCATCCCTCAGAGACCCAGGAGACCCAGGGATCCTGGCTACCAGCCCCCTCCTCTCTTGATCTTAGTAGACCATGCCTCTAGCCCTCTTTCCTCAGACCCAGGAGTCCAGCCCCCTGCCCTCTTTTCTCCCTCGAGATCCAGGAGACCAGGCCCCAATGCCTCTCATTCATCCCTGTCTCCCTTGCAGGAAACAACTCTGTGGATGAAACTGGTGCCAAGGTGAGGAGGGAAGAGACCCAGAGGCCTTGCCAGGGGTCCCATCCTGTGGGTCCCCTCCCCTGTGGTCTGTGCAGGCTCATTTCTGGTCTGGGGTGAGCCTCTTCCTCCCAGGGACCTTTGCCTACTTTTCCCAAGGCTCTGGAGATTTCTTTTCTGGGTGTGATGGGATTCTTTCTCTGCCATCCCAAACCCTCCATTTTTCTCTCTACCTCCCAGATTCCCGATGAATTCGACAATGGTGAGTAAACAGCACAGATTCTGGGGTCCCCTGACCCTCCCTACTCTGCCATTTGTAGGAGTGTTGCCCTCCCCATCTGGTACCCCTGGCTCCTCTTTCTGTTGTGGGGTGGGGGAGTCAGCAGCTGGATGGCTTTGGGGGGAGGGGCATTACAAAGCACCAGTCCCCTTCCCTGTCCCCTCAGCCCAGGAGCAGATGGTCAGGGGCAGATGGGGGAGGGGAATCCGGGGTGGGAGTGCTTGGGGATACGGGGCTCTCTGTTGCCAGACACATGGCTTCCTGTGCCTTAGATCTGAGCATCTGTGGTCCCTAACCCCCTTCTCTTTATGACAGCCTCTTTTCTCCCCGCCAAGCCCTATACCCCATCCGGCTCCTCATTTCCAAAACAATGCCTCCTTCCTCCCTTCCCCTGATGGTTAACCAGCTTTTGAGGAGTTTCTGACAAATTGGATAGTAGAGAGTAGTTGTCAATTCTATCACACCTGGCCCTTTCCAGGAGAAAAATAAAATTAGTAAGTCCAGAAAGCCACCTGTTTGTGCTGGGGAAGTTTACAAACCAGCACGTTAATCCATTGATTGTTTTAAACAAGGCAGGTGGGTAAGTATGCTGTTTTAACTGGGCAGATGTAAATCATACTGGTATAAACAAATCAGTATACTGATTTAAATTGGGCAGGTAAACATGCGGGTTTAAAATGTGTGTATTTATTAGCTTAAGTGGTTTCCATATTTTGGTTTGGAAAAGACAGGCCCATAGATAGTAGTTTAACTGGACTAAAAATACTGTATTGAAGTAGGCAGTCATGTAAGATTCTTATTTTAAACTGGATTCAGTATATTCATTTAAACCAGGATTTTTCAACTTTGGCCATATTGATTCTCTGGATCAGATAGTTCTTTGTTGTTGGGGAGTGTCCTATGCATTGTAGGATGTTTAGCAGCATCCTGGCCCTCTACCCACTAGATGCCCATATTGTGACAATCAAAAATGTCTCCAGACATCGCCAAATTTCCCAGGAAAAGGGGGGGGCAAAATTGCTCCTAGTTGAGAACCACTGGTTTAAAGTATACATATGTGTGTATATATTCATTGAGGTTTAACTAGACTTAGCTTTGTGGCTTAAAGCGGGCAGATCTAGAAACCTGGGTTCAAAATGGACTAAATATACTGTCATAACGTCTGCAGATTTATATGTATGTAGGTTTTAAGTAGGAAGGTGTATAAATATTCTATTTTATATCTGGGGTGGTGTGTGGATATAAGTATTCAGGTTAAAACTGGGTAGGTACACAACCCAAAATTTCACAATGTTAAAAACCATTAAAACATCAGTTAAAAAAAAAAAACAAAAAAAACTGGGCAGGTAAATAAAAACATTTGTTCCTACCTGGTGGTTGTGTCATTGCCTCCTACCTTTGGACTTAGAAATGAGCTGGTTCAAACCAGGTGGGTACGTAGCCCTGTTTGTGTCTGGGAGGCAAATAAACCCCTGGTTTGTCCGAGAGGGTGAGCAGCGGCTTATCTTCAATCTGTTTTTGCCCTGGTGTTCTCCTAGATCCAATTCTCGTACAGCAGTTGCGCCGGACGTACAAATATTTCAAAGATTATAGACAGGTGAGCAAGAGTTGTGGGCCCAGGCCCCATCTCCCTGTCCCCAGCCCCCTGTCTCCCTCAGTGCCCCCATTTTGTCTTTCGTCCGCAGATGATCATCGAGCCCACCAGCCCCTGCCTTCTCCCAGACCCTCTGCGGGAGCCGTACTACCAGCCGCCCTACACGCTGGTCTTGGAGCTCACAGGCGTCCTCCTGCACCCTGAGTGGTCGGTGTGTCCTGGGGAAGGCAGCGGGCTGGGGACACTAGGTGGACCTGGGTGGCCGGACTGTGACGATGTGGTTAAGACCATAGACTGTGGAGCCGGCTGGGGTTCAGAGCAGCTCTGCTGTGTGGTCCTGGGGGGGCACCTCTCTCTGCCCGGCTGTTCTCTCTGTGCTGCTCCTAGCCCATGGCTGTTGCAAGTGCTCCACAGTGCGGGCTGCAGAGCAGTCGGCTGTTGATCCGGGACCCACACCCTCCAGACTCCCAGACCCTCCTGTCGCAGCCATGTGCTCCTGAACCCCCAAGAGCCACAAAGACAGGGGGAGAGCACTCTGGTTCTGGGAGTCCCCAGGCTGGGTCTTTGTCCTCCTGGGGGGCTGTGGGGGCCTCGGGTCTCGGTGTTTCACTGTCTTCACTGCTCCCCAGCTGGCCACGGGCTGGAGGTTTAAGAAGCGTCCAGGCATCGAGACCCTGTTTCAGCAGCTGGCCCCCTTGTATGAAATCGTCATCTTCACGTCGGAGACGGGCATGGTGAGGCCCTGGGCAGAGGAGGGCTGGTTGTGGCGGGAGATCTCCAGGGCCGGGGCTCAGCCTGCCCTTCTCCCATCCCACCCCAGACCGCGTTTCCACTCATCGACAGCGTGGACCCCCACGGCTTCATCTCCTACCGCCTGTTCCGGGATGCCACGCGATACATGGATGGGCACCATGTTAAGGTGCCATATGGGGGCCATGGGTGGGCCTCTGGGATTTGGGGGGGCTGGCACTTCCTGAGGGAAGGAGGACCCAGCTCTGACCCCAGCCTCAGCCCTACTTCTGGTTCTGCCCCAGGTCCGATTCTAGCAGGACATCAGCCTGCCTTCAGTCTGGGCTGGGCCTCTAGGCCCTTCTCCCTTCCCCAGAACCGGGGAGTGGGAGTGGGGGCAGATGAGGTCTCCCCAAAGAAGACACTTGGGGGCAAGGGGTAGGGATATGAAAGCTGGAAGCTGTTTTTTGTCTCGCTGTGTCTAGAACTGAGTGTCTCTGGGACTGTGAAATTGTACTGGCTTATATGAGACTCGCTTTGGGGTTGGTTTGAGCGGGGGTCTGTGGGTCTGTGAATGGGTCTCTGTGGGTCTAGGTCCAAGTATCCACGTGTCTCAGTATCTGTTGAGTTTCTGGCTGTGTCTTGGTGGGCCTGGGGGTCTGTGTAGTTCTTTAGGATTCAGAAGGACGTGGGCTGTGATTGAGGGTCTTGGAGGGTCTTTGGGTATCTGTCTTTGAGTGGCTCCCATGTGTTGCTGTAGATCTGTCTGCACCTCTTTATCTGGATGAGAGGTTTGCAAACCTGCAACGTGTCACAGTCACCTGGGGCAGGGGTTAAACACAAGTACCCAGCGCCCTCCTCAGGGAACCTCCAAGTCAACCTGTGTGCCAGGCCCTGGGCCTGGGAATCAGTGTGACTAGCCCCGCAGCTCCCTGGGGGGTTTGATGCCATCATCCCAACCTGGTCTTTGGGAGACCCCGACGTGGTGATCCCAGTGTGTAGTGCTGTGTGTGTGTGTGTGTTTCTGTCTGTCTCCCTCCCTCTCCCTCTGTGGGTTCCTGGTGGGAAGGGGAGGGGCACAGGCCTTAACTTGACTGTCACCCACTTCCAGGACATTTCCTGTCTGAATCGGGACCCAGCCCGCGTCGTCGTCGTGGACTGCAAGAAGGAAGCCTTCCGCCTGCAGCCCTACAATGGTGTCGCCCTGCGGCCCTGGGACGGCAACTCCGACGACCGGGTCTTGTTGGACCTGTCTGCCTTCCTCAAGAGTGAGGCTGACCCCTGACCTCCTGGCTTCTGACCCCAGAGCCCTTGACCCTCAAGAGCAATGACAGACACTTGATCCTGGCTTGTTCTTCATGTAAAACTGGGTACTTGAGATGCAGGAGGTCCACAAGTATCTTGCAGTCTTCAGAAGCTTCTTAGAGTGTTTGGGGTGCTCCCCTGGAACATTTAGGGGATACTCAGGAATGCTCAGGGGAGCGCTTTTAGAGTGTTGAGAAGTGTTCCAGGTAGTTTTGACCCCCCAGTGTCTGACCTTTACCCTTTCGGGCCCTGCCTCCCTCTGGCCTTCAGCCTGGCTGACCCCCACCCGCTGTGCCCGCAGCCATTGCACTGAACAGCGTGGAGGATGTCCGGACCGTGCTGGAGCACTACGCCCTGGAGGACGACCCGCTGGAGGCTTTCAAACAGCGGCAGAGCCGGCTAGAGCAGGTGGGTGCTCGGAACTGACATCACGTCAGTTCCCTGGGCTCCTGAGGGAGCAACCCTGGATCAGTCTGTCCCCCTCTAATACCTTCCCTTCCACACGGCCTGTCGCGTAGGGCTCTCGTGTGAATTGGTCCGCAGCCTGTTCTGAGAATAGGAGGCAGGAAATGCCAAGCATTTGAGATAGGTCTGGGAGAGGGGTCACCTTAATGGTCTCTAGCAGGTCTGGGGCCCTGGTCTTTTTGTAGACTGTGAGTTTGAATCAGGTCTGGGAAGAGGGATCCCTAGACACTTGGCCCAAGGTCTGGGCAAGGAGTTCTGTCGGACTTGGTGTGATCTTGGTGGTTTGGAAGTAGGGCTGAGAATATGGATTGAGTCGGAGAAAGATTCCCAAGGCTCTCCGCTGAGGTTGACCACATGCTGGGTTGGGTTCCTGAGAGTAGGCTCAGAGCTCGTGGGTGCCCAAAGGAGGGGTCCCTGGAGATTTGGGCCTGTGATCCCCCAGCTTCCAGACAGGGGTCATGGGGCTCAGGGCTGGGCACTGGGGGCCCGGGGAGCAGGACAGTGCGGTCTGGTGAAGGGTCTGGGATAGGTTCCCAGGGTTCAGGGGAGGGCCCCCTGGGATCTGGGGAAGGGGATCATGAGAGTACCTGGGGCTTGAGTCTGGGCTCCTGTGGCCCAGAGCTGGCTCTTGCCAGTGTCTGAGCTGGGTCCTTTGGATCTGGGCTCCTCTTCCGTCTGGGCTGGTGTTCTTGGGGTTTGGGGAAAAGGGTCTGGGTTGGGCAGAGGTTTAAAAAGGTGGCCCCGGGGCTGAGGGCCGGGGACCTGGGAGTCTGGGAGGAGGCTCCGCCCACCCCGGGCTGACTCTCCCTCTCCTCTGTCTGTCCCCGGCCCCAGGAGGAGCAGCAGCGCCTGGCCGAGCTCTCCCAATCCAGCAAGCAGAACCTCTTCTTCAGCTCTCTCACCAGCCGCTTGTGGCCTCGGTCCAAACAGCCCTGACCTCTGGGCCTCCTCAAACTCAGTATGCGGGTCCTGGACCCCAGGCCCCAGTGCTCCCTGACCACGGCTTGGGCAGCCACATGTCCAATAAAGTCCATCCCAGACGCCACACTCCTGTGTCCGGAGAGTCTCCACATGGGGCATCGGGGTGAGGTCCGGGACTCAGGTCCTCGTCCCAGTGGCTGAGTGGCTGCCAAGCACAGAGTGGGTGCTTTGGTGGATCAGAGCTGGTTTCTCATCCTGGCCTGGGAATCCGAAAACCTGGGTCCCTGCTCTGGCGTGTCTTCCCATGTGCTGTGTGATCTGCAGAAAGTGCGTCTCCATCTTTGGCCCCAGGTTCCCCGCCTGTGGAAGAGACAAGAGAAGCTGGCACTGGGCGTCTTGGAGACAGGTAGCTGCCAGGCTGCTGTGGACACGTGTGCAGTGTGGTCTCAGGGCTCGGGCAGACAGGGGTGGCCCCATCTCAGCTGCTGTCCAGCTCTGCCAGCTGTGGCCCTGGGGGAGGGGGGCCTAGAGATGCTGGATCTCCTGATTTATCAGTAGAAGCCAGAAATTGAGACTTTTATATTACCGTCCCAATTTTTAAATGTTGGCTCCTGACTAAAACAGGTAGACTGTGTAGCAGCACTCGGCAGTGGAACTTCCTGCGAGGTTTATCCCGTCTTCTCTCTCTGCGCTGTCCCCTACAGCAGCCAGTGGCCACGTGGGGCTGTTGAGTACATGAAATGTGGCTAGAGCGAACCGAGCAACGGAAGTCATTTTCCTTTTAATTAATTGAAATAGCCCCATGTGGCTCCTGGCTCCTGCATTGCACAGGACTCTTGCGTGTTATTTAAGAGCACGCGTTCCAGGGGCTGACCCAGTGGCGTGGTGGTTAAGTTCTCGCGCTCCGCTTCAGCAGCCTGGAGTTCGAAGGTTCGGATCCTGGGTGCGGACCTGTGTACCGCTCATCAGGCCATGCTGTGGAGGCATCCCACATACAAAATAGAGGAAGACTGGCACGGATGTCAGCTCAGGGCCAATCTTCCTCACCAAAAAAACAAAACAAAAACACGAGTTCCAGACTGTCGCAGGTTCAAATCCAAGCTCCACCACTTCCTGGCTGGTGTGATCTTGAGCAAGTTTCGTTGCCTCCCAGTGCCTCAGTGTCCACATCTATGGAATAATCATAATAGTATCCCCTTCACAGGCTAGGCTTGAAGGTGAGTGAGGCACCCCCTGTAGGCACTCCGATGGTAGCTGTGTGATCCTTGGGCAAGGCACCTTTCTGCCTCAGTTTCCTTATCTCTGAAATGGAAGTGATGATAGTGCCTGTCTTAGTAGAGTGGTGGTGAGGAGGCCCAGGGGCAGTTCATGCTGAGGCTATGTGTATATTCACATGGGGCTTGTGACCAGGCCTTGCTGGATATGCTGGGATTGAAATAGCCTGTAGCAGTTGGACAGCCCACCCCTGCCGCCCCCCGCCGTTCCAGCCTCTCCTGCTCCAGCCAGCATTTAGTGCTAATACCAGTTAAGTGTTTTAAAAAGACCTTCCCTGGTGTTTGTTATAATAATTAAAATGCATTTGAAACTGTGGGGCCAGATTGAACCTCTGAAATCTAGATTTTTTTGGAAGGCTCACAAACATCGGCAAAGAAAAGTTAAAATTCGCACACAACCCGCCCCCCACCCCGAGGTGTCCTGTCTCTGACCCAGGGGAGAGGTCCCTGCTGTCCTCAGGGCTCCCTAGCTTGAGGGCGTCCCAGGACTGAGGGGTTCTTTGCATGTGGCTTTAGGGATTAGAGACTGTCTTCACCGAGGCTTGTGTGTTTGGGGACTGCGATCCTGGGGAGAGTGAGTTGTGGATGGAGTCCCCCGGTGGTCACAAGTGGCCCCTGGGGATTAAGGCTCTGGCACTGTGGGTGGCATATGCTTCAGTGGGTTCCCCCTGGGCCTCTCCCCGGCCTGGGTGCAGTCACGCTGCACCTGCTCGAGGCTGGAGGGCAAGAGGTTGGACAGGGTTTGACTGTGCACAGGGGTCCTCTGAGACTGAGACCCTTATGTGACGTGGCCTAGGATGCTTTCCTAAAATGCTCTGGTCGCCGGGGCCGCATCGTGGCATCAGCCAATGGGTGGGGTGGTGCCTGCGTTGAGGCTTACCCCACAGGCTCTGGAGTCCCAGGTCACCACGCACAAGCCCTGGGACCCTGGGCAAAGTCTCGAGCATCTCAGCTTCCTCATTCATGTGAGGTTAATCGTAGTACCTCCCTTGTTCCTTCACTTAACTCCACGAGTGCTTTCTCAGCACCGACCGCCAGGCCTGGTCCTAGGCACTAGGGTGCAGCAGTGAAGGAATTCGACAGAAGGCTCTGCCCTCACGGAGCTGACGCTCTCATGGAGGAGACAGACAATGGTCAGATATTTTTCGGGGTAATAAATGCATAAAGAAAAAGTATGCTAAGAAGAGGGAGTGGTTTGGGGAGGTGGGGTGCTGTTTTAGACTGGATGGAACAATCAGGGAAGGCCCCTTGGGAGGGTGTGTTTGAGCAGAGACTAGAATGAAATGAGGAAAGCCAGGGGGCATCTGAGTGTGCCAGGCAAGGTCACCTCAGGGCCTCTGCACTTGCTGTTCCCTCTGCCGGCAGTATTTTTTCCCGGGGTCTATATGGCTTACTCCCTCGTCTCCTTTAGGTCTGTGCCCAAATGTCACCTCAGCATGGCCTTCTGTGGGCTGTAAGCTTGGCACATAAGGATAAGTCCGAATAGCCAGAAAGACGCTCAGAAATCCCATAAAGTACACTTCACACTCAGACGTGAGAATTCACGTGAAACACTGTCCTCCCTGGCACAAACCCTCAATAAGCCTGGCTATTTTTACCATCTTTAAAATTTTTTGAGATATCTCAGACCTGGAATCCATTACCCTCCCAAATTATTATCCGGGGCAGGAATCTGCCTCCTCCCACAGCTGCTTCTAATGGCTGGCCCCGTTCCATTTGAATGTCTCCTGCGATGGGGAGCTCACCCCTCCACCTACCCTGGTATAGGGCCTAATTAGCCTCCCAGTAACTGGTCCACGAGGTCTGGCTCTACGCTTTGGGGCCACAGAACCTGTTTGAGCAGGGGGGATGTGGAGGGAGGGCCCCAAATGTCAGCTTTAGAATCTGAGCGTGTCAGAAGGCCCCGTGGAGCCATTGGAAGAGTCTCTGCAGGAGAAGGACGTGGCCGGAGCAGTCGGGGCGGGGATAGAGGGATCACAGGGGGCTGTGGGCACTCGGAGGAGGTGCCTTGCCCCTTGGGGAGTGTTAGGGAAGGCCTCCTGCAGGGGGTGAGGCCTGACTGGTGACATGGGAATTAAGTAGAGAAGGGAGTGGAGAGAATATAGCAATATAGAGGGAAAACCTGTGCCAGGGAACCCGGGATGTTCTGCACCATTTGACCGTGGCGCTCCCCTGCCCAACCCCCCTCCATGACTCCAGTCCTCAGGATTGAGAGAAAACTCTAGATTGAATTCTTTCATTCATTAAGAATCACGGAGCACTCATGGCATGCCCTGCCCTGCTGGCCTCTGCTTTGTTGATCACTCTATCTCGCTTCTCTAAAAGAAAAAGATGTGTACAAATGGAACTTGTGTTTTCCCCTATAATTACTAGCCTCTAGATATTAAAATTTTTATTCTGGGGGTAAAAAGGAGTTTACTCCGTCTAAAAGGCTTTGCTCTGCACCTGGCACTGAGGGAGCGAGCGATTATGACCTGAGGGCTGGAACATCTGCTCCTAACCGGCTTTCCTTGCGGTGGTCATGGAATACTAAGGGGCTTCTGGAGGGCCCGGGGGTGCCCCCCCCATTCATCCTGGAGCGACGGAGGGGGCCCCTGGTACGTGAAGACGGAATTTCCTGCCCATTTGCTCCTCACACCTTCCGGAGGCCAAACGGGCAGCCCAGCTGCGGCCTGAAGGGGGAGGGGCACGGCCGCCCGGCAGATGGCAGCATTTACATACAGCTGGGAGCCCCCTCTGAGACCCGGGGCTCCTCGCCCTGGCGTCTGGTGCATCCGTGATGCGGGGTTTGGGAGGGTGGCTTTGTCTTGGGGAGAGGAACACAGACACACACAGACACAGAGACACACACACACACACACACACACACACACACACACACACAGGTCCGCAAAGAACCTGGGATTTTCATCGTATCCACACACCCAGTCTCCTTCACACACACATCCTCAGTCATTCAGAACCTTGCACAGACCCTACCACACACACACACACACACACAAAGCTACCTAGGGGCACCTGCACAGACCACAAAGTCACAGCTTCATACGACTACACACAGTGGTCCAGAATCTCACATACACTCATAGACGTGCACAGAGAAGCATCCAGAATCCACACAGTCACACAATCTCAAAAAGTCACACAATCATGAAGTCATGTACACTTCTGTTCTCCCAGGCAGGTGTGCACACACACACAAACAGGCTTAACCACATACAATCTCAGGCACACGCGGAGCCCCACGACCTCACCTAGACAGACAATCACAACATCACCTGCACTCTCCAGTAAGTAGCTCTTGCTCACACCACACACACACTCACGGAATCTTAAAATCATATACAACCTCACATACAGGCTTAACCCCTTCACCCCACCCCATCTTCAGCCATACACAAAGTCGTGCCCACAACCACACACAAGATGGTACACTTACTACATTGCCCGTGCCCACGACACATACACAATCTCACGGGGGCTACTGCAGCTTCCCTGCCCCCGCGACCTCTTTCCCTAGGGTCCCGTGTAGCCGGGCGGCTGCCTGAAGGGGCGGAGCCGTCCCCCCACATATAAGGCTCCGGAGCCAGCAGCTGCGGCTCCCGAGACCCCCGAAAGGCCATGGGCGCCCCGCCGACGCCCCAGCTCCTGTCCCGGACGGTGATCCTGGCGTTTATTTTCCTTCCGCAGGTCAGAGCCGGATTGGAAAGGGATGGATGGGAGGGGGTGCTACCCGGGGGTCTTGGGGGAGGGGGCGCGGGGCAGCCTGGGTTCCCGCGGCCCCCTAACCCTGTGCCCCTTTCTGCCCCAGGCACGGCCGGCCGGCGTCTTCGAGCTGCAGATCCACTCCTTCGGGCCGGGACCAGGTCCGGGGGCCCCGCGGTCCCCCTGCAGCGCCCGGGGCGCCTGCCGCCTCTTCTTTAGGGTCTGCTTGAAGCCAGGAGTCTCCGAGGAGGCCGCCGAGTCTCCGTGCGCCCTGGGCGCGGCGCTGAGTGCGCGCGGCCCCGTCTACACCGAGCAGCCCGGAGCGCCGGCGCCTGACCTGCTGCTGCCCGACGGCCTCATGCGCGTGCCGTTCAGGGACGCCTGGCCGGTGAGACCCGGCCCCGGGGCCCCCGGGCCCCCGGGAGGGAGGACTTACCCAAACCTCGACCCCCTTGAGCCCTCCAACTGCCAAGACCCCAACCCTGCCCCCTGGGGACCCCAAATTCCCAGACCAGTAACTCTACCACCTGGAACCCCACATTCTAAGACCCCCTAAACCCCACCCACTGGGCACCCCAAATTTTCTGACTCCACCTTGCCTTCTAGGGATCCCAAATGTTCTGACCCTAGTTCTGCATACTTGAGACCCCAAATCCCCAGAAGCCCAAACTCACCCTCTGGAAATCCTAAATTCACAGAACTCTACCTCGTTTCCTTGGGGATCTCTAAACACTGGGATCCTCATCTTTATCCCGAAATCTCTTTGCACCTAGGGACTCTCCTGCATCCTGTCTTGGAGACCCGCAATCTCCTCTCACCTTATCCCTTCTCAGATCTTCCAGTTGGGGCCCATATTCATGACTCCATCACCTCCAAAATCCTATCTGCCATCCCACAACCCCAAAAGCACAGAGGTGAACAGACCTATATTTGAATTCTAGACCCTTGTCCTTTTGGGCAAGTGACCTTCCCTTTTCCAGCCTCAGTTTCCTCATCTGCAAAATGGGAATCCTCATGGTACCTCACAAGGGTCCCTTTTGTGGGGTTCAACCCACAATCTTGAGTATAGTGCTTACCACATAGTAAGTGCTCAATAAAGAAAGTCATTCCTTCCCTGGGCCAGTCCCTCTGGGAATTATCCCTTGCCTGCCTGTCCACAGAATGGTCATCCCCCCTACACTCTGTTCTTCATTGAGTACCCGCCCTGACCAGTGCCTTCCCTTCCTTTCTCTCCCCCTTCCTCCACCACCCAGGGCGCCTTCTCTCTCGTCATCGAAACCTGGAGAGAAGAGTTAGGAGAACAGATTGGAGGTGAGCATCTTCAGTCTCGGGGCTGTGGTGTAGTGTGCAGGGGCTCCAGGGGGTTGGGGCCCAACGTGAGGTCCAGAATGGTGATGTGGGGCTGCCTGCAGGGTGGGGCGTTCACAGGATTGCTGTTGCCAGCTCCAGGGCTCCTGGCCTGTCGACACAGAAATGTCCCAGGACTGGATGTGGGAGTCCGTGGTCCCCACAGCAGGTGAAGTGGAGGGAGCTCTCTTACTCTCTTGGAATTGAAGCCAAGGGAGCGGGTTACGGCATCTCACAGTCCTGCTCTGTCACCATCTGGTTGTGAGAACCCAGGCTACAGTATGAGTCACTTCTGGTTCCTTAACGTGAAGCTTGTCACCTTGTCCATAGAGGACCCAGGGAGCCCTATGGGATGTCACAGTCTCCCCAGAGAAAACACTGAGCAGAGGTTTTAGGGAGGGATATGGGGTGATCCTTAATGCGGGGGTGTGGGGTACGGCCGGGGGGGACGACGGGGGGGACAATGAACTTTGGTGCTCTGTAAGGCCCACAGGGGGGTTTCTGTTACCATTCTGATATAGGAACATCCTGAGGCACAATTTGGGGGTGTCTGACCTCACTTGAAGAGACCTGTTATTATCCCTTGGGTATATCGAGATATCAAGTGTCACAGGGTGTAGAGGTCTCATCACTAATATATAAAGATTCTGGGGCAAAATATGGGGGTATTTCGGCTTTTATGGGAGAACTGTTATCATGGTGATGCTCGTAGGGTACGAGATGGATCAGAGGCCCCAGGGCGCCTTAGGGGGGTTTACAGCCTTGCTAAGGGGGTAATTGCCATTCTCAGCATGTCAAAGGACCCCCTCCACGCCTCCACCCCCCCCCCCCCGCCCTCTAGACGAGGGGAGTTTGGGCCTCGCTAAGAGGGGCGGGGAGAGTGCGAGCCGGGCCCCCCAGCGCCGCTCCCTTCTCCCCGCAGGGCCCGCCTGGAGCCTCCTGGCGCGCGTGGCCGGCCGGCGTCGCCTGGCGGCCGGCGGCCCGTGGGCCCGGGACGTGCAGCGCGCAGGCGCCTGGGAGCTGCGCTTCTCGTACCGCGCGCGCTGCGAGCCGCCCGCCGTCGGGGCCGCGTGCACGCGCCTCTGCCGCTCGCGCAGCGCCCCCTCGCGGTGCGGCCCGGGACTGCGCCCCTGCGCGCCGGTCGAGGATGAGTGCGAGGCAGCGCGTGAGTTCGGCGTCCAACGCGCCCCATCCCCGGCCCCTCCTTCTCTCCGCTCACGACCCCCGGGCCCCTCTGACAACCCAGCTACCCCTTCAGGGAACTGGGGGCCCCGGCCCCTCCCCGGCTCCACTGGTGGTCTTCAGTACTCCCACCGTCCAGCTACTTTCAGGAAAACTGAGGAGTGTTTTCTCCAGCCCTGCCTGGGCACTCCAGCCCCCTTCCCCTTCCCAGCACTCTTGTCCCAAAAAGGAGCCCCACTCCCATTTCCCATGCTGGTACCCCCCAGTTCCTCCCCTAACCCATACCCACACCCCTTTCCAGCTGCTGGGACTCCCAAAGTTTCTAATTCTGGGCCCCTCCCTACCCCCACCCAGGAGCTTTGGAATTCCTGCCCCCGCGCCCCCCCAAAGGGTCCTTCCTCCTCCTGCTATGGCATGCCAGACCCCATTGCTTTCTTTTTTTGTGTGTGAGGAAGATCAGCCCTGAGCTAACATCTGTGCCGATCTTCCTCTACTTTATATGGGACGCCGCCACAGCATGGCCTGACAAGCCGTGCATCAGTGCACACCCAGGATCCGAACCTGGGCCGCCAGCAGTGGAGTGCGCGCACTTAACTGCTACGCCACAGGACTGGCCCCCCCCATTGCTTTCTAAAGTTTGGGATCCCCGCCCTCCACCCTGGGTACCTTCAGACTCCTCCTCAAATTTATGAGCCCCACCAAAGCCCCTAGGAGTCCCAGGCTTATCCACAGCCTCCCAGACCTGCCCTAATCCATCTCCCCTGAAAGGCCGGGGTCCCTCTCCACTCCCCAATCCCCAGTCCCCTCATTCTCCTCTCTCCAAGCTCAGACCTATGAGCCCCCACTCCATTCTCCTTCCAAGACTCTGGAGCCCAATGGCCTGGGTTCAAATCCTCACTCTGCCACCTCCTAGCTGGGTGAGTCACCCCGTCTCTCTGGGCCTCAGTTTCCCTGTCTGTAAACTGGGGTCGCAATACCATCTAGCCTAGACGGTTGTCTGTCACAAGGATGAAGCATGGAAAGCATCAGAAGCTTCTCTGATTTCTGTCCTCCTGACTCTGCCCTTCATCAATATTCCTCTTGCCTCTGCCCCTCGTTCCCCCACAGTGGCATGTCGAGCCGGCTGCAGCCCGGAGCACGGCTTCTGTGAGCAGCCCGGTGAATGTCGATGCCTGGAGGGCTGGACCGGGCCCCTCTGCACCGTCCCTGTCTCGACCAGCGGCTGCCTCAGCCCCAGGGGCCCGTCCTCGGCCACCACTGGATGCCTTGTCCCTGGGCCTGGGCCCTGTGATGGGAACCCCTGTGCCAACGGGGGCAGCTGCAGTGTTAGTATCACCCCCACCCGCCTCATCCTGCTCAGTACTTGACCCTGGGAGTTCCCACTGCCCCCTCTCTGGGGCTCCATGAGACAACAGCCTGGGGAGGCTGGGGTTGCTGTCAGGGAGGGCTTCCTGGAGGTGTCCAGCCTTGAAGTAGGATGAGATGATGGGAATGGGACTGGGGAGAGCAGAGCCAGTGGGTGGCAGCTAAAGGTGTGGATGTGGGAATGATGAGGAGTCCTGTGGGGCCACAAAGTCCCGTGGGATAGAAAACAACTCAGGGTGCAAAGTAGGGGGTGGTGGGGCCAGGGGGGTTGGGAATTTGGGATTCGGGAGCAGGGGGCATCAGAGAAGGCTTCCTGGAGATGAGCCCAGGGCTGGGGCTTCTGAAGTCCTATTTGGCTGAGGGGAGGTGATGGGCAAACGTCGGCTGGGTGAGTGGCTTGGAGTTCACTGGGATGAAGTAGAGCCCAGCGTGGGCCACCTGGACGCTGCCACCAGGGGACAGCGAGATACACTCAGGGCTCAAGGTAGGGGGCAGGCCTGAGAAGGGGAGATCAAGAGAAGGCTCCACGGAGGAGTTGGGCTTAGAGCTGGGACCTCCAAGTAGGAACTGGCTATGCGGACAGAAGTGGGGAGGGCACGTCAGGCGGGCAGCATTTTGTGGGCAAAGGTGTAGAGGCGGGAATGGATCTGTCTGGGCCTCCAGAGCCGGCCTCTGTGGGGCTGGATGGGCAGCCCCAGGAACATGGAGCCGAGCGAGGGGCTGTCTCGGGGGGACTTCCCAGGTGAGGCCCCTGCCCGCTGGGAGCGGGGACTGGACGAGGAGCAGCCCCCAGAGGTCAAGACTGAGCTGGGGGGTGGGATTTTGCTCCAAGGAGACCCGGATCCAAAGTCCTCTTGCCCCTGCCCAGGAGACACCGGGGTCCTTCGAATGCGCCTGTCCCCGTGGCTTCTATGGGTTGCGGTGTGAGGTGAGCGGGGTGACATGCGCGGATGGACCTTGCTTCAACGGTGGCTTGTGTGTGGGCGGCGCAGACCCCGACTCTGCCTACATCTGCCACTGCCCGCCCGGGTTCCAAGGCTCCAACTGTGAGAAGAGGGTGGACCGGTGCAGCCTGCAGCCCTGCCGGAACGGTGAGGTGGGGAGGACAGAACGGTGAGGGGTGCAGGGTGGGGGGTGTCCCTGCCTGGTGAGTGGGCAAGAGCAGGGCCTGGCTCAGACAGTGCGGGGTGGGGGGGCATCCTCTGGTACAGTGGCCTGGGGATGTGACTCTCCCCCTCTGCCCAGCCTGTATGTTCTTCTGAAAAATGGGTGCTCGAGGTGACATTCCTATCTCATAAATATTTATTGAGCACCTAGTGTGTGCCAGGGCCTGTTCCAGACATTGGGGATAGAGCAGGGAATGAAACAGATGACACCCTGCCCTCATAGAGCTTATGGGGCAGACAGACAATAAGCAAGATAAATAAGTAAATTATATGGGAGGTTAGATGGTGACAAAAACTAAGAAGAAAAATGAAGCCAGAAGAGGGATGGGGAGTGGGTATGGGATGGCAGATTGACATTTTAGCTGAAGTGGTAGGGAAGACCTTGCTGAAGGTTGTGATGGAGGGAGCTATGTGGGGATCTGGGGGAAGAGTATGTTCCAGGCAGAGGGAACAGCAAGTGCAAAGGCCCTGAGGTAGGAATGTGCCTGGTGTGTTGAGGATCACAGGGAACCAGTGTGGTTGGAGCAGAGTGAGGGGAGAGTGGTGAGAGGTGAAGGGGGTGACCAGGACAGATCCTGTGGGACTTCTTGAGCCACGGAGAGGATTTTGGTTTTACCCTGAGTGAGATGGAGCCACAGGAGGGTTCTGAGCAGTGGAGAGACCTGATCTGATATAGGTGTTAAAAGATTAATCGAGATTATGAATGTAATGGGCTCAGCACATTCATATTATAATAATACTGATCGTCTCCAAAACACTCAGTGAGTGCTCACTCTAGGCTGAGTGGTACCAGGGACACCGCAGTGACCAGGACAGCTCTGGGCCCTGCCCTCACGGGGGTCCCAGCCGGAAGGGGAAGATAGGCTCCTCCTCAGACAGAGCCCAGAGTGGACAGGGCTGTGATGGGGGAGCGCAGGGCTGGGATGGAGGAAGAGTCAGAGAGGGCTTCCTGGAGGAGGGGACATCTGAGCAGAGACCTGAAGGGTAACCTCGGGAAGAGAAAAGGTGAAAAGAATGGGAGAAAAGGAGGAAGGAAAAAGGGATGGCGCATCGCAGGCAGAAGGCATGGGCAAAGGCTGGGTGGTTCAGATACGCAGTTCTGGAATTTTATTTAAGTGTGGTTGAAGCCCAGAGAAAAAGACACAGCCAAGGAGGCGAGGCTGGGTTAATCCAAGGCTTCACCAGGAGAAAAGGAAGTGGGCTGGCTTTCCAGGCAAACTCCCAGGGGCTGGCCCAGGAGTTAGATGGAGATGGAGGGGAGCCAGAGAAAAAGGCGGGCGGGGACACAGGGGTGAGAAACGGCAGCGCGGGCGGGCGTAGGGGACACCCCCCAGTCTGCGCCCCTGACACCCCGTCCCCCTAGGCGGGCTCTGCCTGGACCTGGGCCACGCCCTGCGCTGCCGCTGCCGCGCCGGCTTCGCGGGCCCGCGCTGCGAGCACGACCTGGAAGACTGCGCCGGCCGCGCCTGCGCCAACGGCGGCACGTGC